TGAGAAACATCACCCCGACCCAGCAGCAGAATATACGGTCTTACCGGGGTTACGGCAACTCCGCGGAGCTCGCATACAACCACTTGAAGAATCTGTATCAAGCAACAGACAGCGTAAACCAGAGTCGGTTAATGGCGCAATTGACAACGGTCGAAATGAAACCAGGCGAGAAGGGAATGGCGTATATCAGCCGATGTCGCGAGCTGCGCGACAAGCTTCTTCGATGCGGGGGGTCGATTTCTGAAGACGCCTTCGTGACAGTCATCATTGGCGGCCTTGGTCCTCAATGGCGCGCCACAAAGGCCATTCTCCGAGCCCACGGAAGAATCTCCGAAGCAGCACTCTGCGCAGAAATCCATGCCGAGCAGCAAGACATGGACCTGCAAGAAGAACGACACAAGAAGAAGATATCAGCACCGGAATTCGCATTCCACACCCAGCGACGCTACAACGGCTACAAACAACAACAACCGAAGTCCGTACCTCCTTTCTGCCACATCTGCAAGACGTCAGGGCACCCGCGCACACACTGCCCGAATCGACAACAGTCAACTCCACAGCAACGGCAGCTTCGACCCTCAAGCAGCCAAGTGGCATCAACGCAGGCGAACCCCACGAGTCAGTCGAAACCGTCAACAACACAACCTGCACAAGGAGCAAGAAACATTGTCAGCTGCATGGCAAAATTAACCGATTCCTGCATCACCGAGTCACCGCCACACTACTCACCGGAAGAACAACTCGACAACACCACACCTCGCCGCGAGTCATTTCAGCCGAACCCAACATACGCAGCCATCGCTCAAAGCGAGCCATCCGGGAAGGACACGTGGTTCTTGGACAGTTGCTGCGGACAACACATGTGTTCTTCAGGACGCTTCGTGCAGCGAGAGTATCAACTTCAACACGAAGTAGTCATCACCATCGCCAACAATCAGAACCTGCGCACACGACGACAAGGCGTGGTACAACTTCAATCATGAGAGACAAATGTCGTTCTACAGATGTCTAAGGTTTTAATCGCAGAAGGCCTCGGCTACAACTTACTGAGCGTCAGTCAGTTGATGGCGAAGGGTATTCACCTCGAGGCAGACAGCACCACCCAGGAGTTCAAGCTGTACCACGGGAAGGGCGGCCTCTACATCGGAAAGGCGATCCTAAAAAACAACGTCTTCGTTCTTGATTTTGTTCCAGATCTCGGCACAGCAGACAGCGACGGCATCGTCACCTTCACCTCCTGGACCCACCCTCCAGATCTTGATCCAGACTTCAGTCCAGAAGGCTTCTGGTACTCACACACCAGTCCTGTGTGAAGAAATGAGGAATGAATGAACTAGCAAACAGGTGGGTACAAGTAGGAAAACCTAGAAGTGTTGTACCCCATATTGTCTACCCCACTACAGCCTACACAGACTATAGCATAAGAGTTTGACACACCCCCATAGGCAAAGTGGGGGAGAACAAGAGGTCACAAGACCAGTCAAGCAAAGCAAAGCAAGCTCAGGGTGGATCACAACGTCACCACACAGTCCGAGCACAAGAGCAAGGCCACAAGGCCAGTTCACATGCAAGATCATATATAAAGGTAAACAAGCAAGTGCAGGTATAGAAAGACCACAGTACAAGCAAGGTCAAGAAGTGAGCAAGTGAGGCCAAGTAGGCACAAGACCTAGCATCGTACAGAAGCGCTGATGATCACAAGGCAGAAGTGCCTTGGTAAAGATATCAGCCGTGTTGGCCTCAGAGGCCACGTAAGCAAGGCGCAGCTGACCACGCTGCTGCAGCTCACGAGCAAGGAAGTAGCGGAGAGCAATGTGCTTCGTTCTGTGCTCCAGTCTGTGCTCCCGACACAAGGCCAGCATGGCCTTGTTGTCTACGTACAGAACTGGAGGAGAACGAGGCGGCTCTCCTATGTCAGTCAGCAAGTAAGTGAGCCAGCGTAGCTCCTGTGCAGCCATGGCTCCCGCGTAGATCTCAGCCTCACAGCTGGAGCCGAGAACAGAAGACGAGCGGGTAGACCGCCACGAAACAGAGCCGGAGCCAAGACTGAAGGTGTAACCCTGTGACGACCGCTGCGTAGCCTGGTCGTCAGCCCAAGAAGCGTCTGCGTGACCTGTGAGGACCACTCGACGTCGCCCTCCAAGCACTAGCCCCATGCCCGACGTACTGCACAAGTAGCGCAACACCCTCTTCGCTGCAGCCATGTGCTCTGGTCGGTGTCTCCCAGGAGCAACATAGCGTGCCAAGATGCTAAGAGGGTATGCAAAGTCAGGTCGTGTGCAGGTCATCAGGTACATGAGGCAGCCAACAAGCTCTGGGTACGGGCCACTCGGCTCTACGGACTCATCCGAAGGCAGAGCTGAGAGCGAGTGACGAGTAGACAGAGGAGTGGCCTGAGGCGAGGAGTACGTGAAGTCGAAGCGCTGAAGGACCTGCTGCACCATGTGTGACTGAGTCAGGGTAATGGTGCGCTGTGCTCTGTCCCGGGTGATCTGCAAGCCAAGGTAGCTGCGCAGTTCACCCAGGTCTGTGCACGTGTGTCTCTTCTGCAGCTCGGACTTCACGTGGGCGAGTCCAGCAGTGTCAGCAGTGGCAAAGACCAAGTCGTCGACGTACACGAGGATGTAGAACGGCGGCAAAGAGGTGTCGGTGCGCAGAAACAGCGACGGGTCGGCAGTAGAAGGAGCAAACCCAAGAGCCGCAAGTGTAGTCCTCAGTGTGTCGTGCCACTCACGGGGCGCCTGGCGGAGACCGTAGACTGGCCGCCGGAGGCTCCACTGGGTACCAGGAGGAAACGACCCAGTGAAGCCAGGTGGGCGGCGCAGCCAGATCTCCTCGTGCAGGCTGCCCTGCAGGAAAGCTGTGCTGAAGTCAAGAGAGTGGAGCTCGTAGTCGCGCTGAGCGGCTATGTGCAGCAGCACCCGAAGAGTGGTCATCTTCGGGGTGGGAGAGAAGGTCTGAAAGTAGTCAACTCCCTGCCGCTGACTGAAGCCACGAGCCACGTAACGCGCCTTGAAGACAGGCGGAGAACCCGGCCGCCGCTTCACCCTGAAAATCCACATGCCCCAGGTGGGGGAACCTCGTCGACGTAGGTGCCTGTGGACTTCCAGGAAGCCATCTCTGCGTCCATGGCTGACTGCCACTGAGAGGAGTAGGGACCCTCGATCGCCTCAGCGTACGATCGAGGAGTCGGGATGTCTGGTGCATCCGGGTCTCCCTCAGGGGCAATCAGCGTGGACACGAGATGAGGCAAAGCAGCAGCAAAACAATGGAACTCCTCCTGCCTGTCCTCAAGGACGTCCGTGCTAAGAGCACACTCACCCCCGACGGACGGAGGACAGACAGACTCAGACTCAGCAACAAGACTAGCAGCGTAGTCTAGACGACAGCGAGCAGCAAAGTCGACAAGCTCAGCAACTAGGGCCGACGCAGCAGTGGACTCAAAGGAAGGGTCAGTAACAACAGTAGCCAGGAGACGCGTGACAGAAGGACTGGCAGCACGAAGAGAGTCAGACTCCGGGTCAGCAAGAACAGGAAGAGAGGACTCTGGAGGAGACGGCAACGGGACACGCAGAGGAGCAGTGGAAGGACCCAGTGCCATCTGGTGTGTGCCTGGGACCGCAGGACGACGCGGACGCGGAGCACGATCACTAGTGCGAGCAGCACGAACAGGCGACGCAGGACGAGAAGCAGGCTCACGACGCTCAGCAAGACCTCCAGTAGGAACAGTGTAGGGAGAAGGAGCAGGTAGGGGGGAGGTGGGCTGCAACTGTGACCGCGACTGGACAGGCTGTGGACACTCTAAGGGAGGAGCAGGACCAGTAGAGGGCGGGAGACCAAGAACCTGCTCAAGGAGCGGAACGAAGTACGGCCTCGGCCGCGCAGCGCCTCCAGAACCAGCAGGGACAGCACCAGTACCCCCAGCGGCAGCACCAGCGCCAGCAGCACCTCCAGCTCCAACAGCGCCAACTCCAGCACCCTCAGACGCACCAGTGCCAGCAGAACCACCAGCGCCAACACCCCCAGCAGCTCCAGCTCCAGCAGCTCCAGCAGCACCAACTCCAGCAGGACCGGCAGCTCCAGTACCGCCAGCAGCTCCAGCAGTACCTCCAGCAGGACTAACTCCAGCAGCCCCAGCAGCACCCCCAGCCCCAGCAGCTCCAGTACCGCCGGTACGAGCACCTCCGGGACCAGCAGCAACAGTAGTACCTCCAGCTCCAACAGCACGGCTCCAGCGCCGGGCAAACCACTCGCGCAGCTCCTGCGGAGAGAGTGGCTCCCGCCTCGACGAAGCACCGCGAGAGGCCACACGAGCAGACCCAGCACCCCCAGGCTCCGCACCCCCAGGCTCAGCACCCCCAGGCTCAGCACCCCCAGGCTCCGCACCCCTGGACTCAGCACCCCCAGGCTCCGCACCCTCAGGCTCAGCACCTCCAGACCCGGCACCCGCAGGCTCAGCACCTCTAGCAGCACCAGAGTCAACAGCTACCTCGACAGGCTCGACTGCGTCTACCTGGGACACACCTGACGGGGCAGGACCCTGAGGGGGGAGGGGGTCTACCGGGGGAGGACCTGGCGCAAGGAAGAGCGGCGGCGGGGGGAGGGGCGCAGTGCGGTAGGGGAAGAGACGGTAGTAAGGCACCGACTCGTCAAAGGTGACGTCCTGGGAGGACAGAACACGGCGCGAGGTGGGGTGGTAAAACTGCCAACCAGGCGCGTCAGGGGGGAAGCCAAGGAAGACGCAGGGAACAGCACAGGGGGACAGCTTGTCCGCAGACAAGTCGCGGACAAACGCCCGAGATCCCCAGACCCGAAACGCAGACGCATCGCCAACCTTCCCCGTCCACCGCAAGGTGGGGGAGGTCTCTGGCAAGGAGACCCGGGGCTGAAGGTTGAGCTGATGCGCTGCGTACTGAACCGCAAACGGCCACAGAAAATGGGGGGCAGCCGCATGGATCATGGACGTACGAGCGACGTCCATGACCATGCCAATGCGGCGCTCAGCAATCCCATTTTGCTGTGGAGAGGCCGGAAGCGTGAAGGTCTGGCGGATGCCCTGTGCTCGACAGAAGGCTCCCAGACGGGCAGAGGAAAACTCCCCGCCTCTGTCAGAGTGCAGACGCAGAACAGGAAAGTCCGAGCCGAAACTCTCTCTGAGCTGGAGACGAGCTGCGCGGATCCAGTCGATCAACACCACAGTGACGTCACCCTTGCTGCGCAAGGGGAACACCGTGGTGTAACGCGAGTAGTCGTCAACCACCAGCAGGAAGTAACGCTCGTGACCCTGGCCACGGACGCGGGCGGGGCCCCACACGTCCATGTGAAGAGTCTGCAGGGGAGACTCTGTCGGAGGAAACTCGGAGGAGTGAGGGGCGGCGTGCTGCCGCCCCTCGACGCAGGGAACGCAGGTAGGGGCAGGCCCCGGAGGGAGGGGAGGGAGGGACCGGGGGAGACCAGAGACAAGGACACGGGAGGCCATGCCTCGGAGACGAGGCAGGGAGGGGTGACCAAGGCGGTGGTGCCAAAGGAGAGTCTGGTGGGACAGGAGACGACACGAGCAGGGAGCAGACTCAGGACCAGACCTGGACGCTGCAGCAAACACCTGACTCGACGCAGCTACCTGACCAGACTCAGCAGCCGGAGGAGACTCAGTAGTAAGTGTGTACAGGCTCGACCCCGGCCGACGGGTGAACGTGGCCAAGTGTCGGCCTGTCCGAGCACACGTGCAGTGGGTCACCCGCTGACTCGCAGGAGTGAACTGGTCAACCCCCCTATCCTGTAGATCAGCTCCACTCACCAAGTTCGTAGAGAACGAGGGGAGGTAAAGACCTGACAGGGTGCCAGAGGGGGCTGCCGGGCACGGTAAGAGAGTGGAGAAGCTAGCAAGGACAGGACCCCCAGAGGGGTCCGCCAGGGAGACCGCAACCGGCCGACTAAGCGGCGTAAGCGTGGTGCGGTCTCGAAAGAAGGAGCGGGAAGCACCCGAGTCAAGGGTGAAGGTGTGTAAGGCCTGAGCCGACGTAGTACCTGAGAGAGCAGACTCACCAGCACCTGGGGCAGCAGACGCACTAGCACCTAGAGCACAGCCTCACCAGCACCTAGAGCAGCAGCCTCAATGCCCGGGTCAGGCGGAACACACAGGTAACAGTCACTCGCATCACTAGTAGGCAATGCATACATGGCAGTGAGGATAGCATCATAGTCAAGAGTATAGATATCTACCCGCAGCCTAAGCAGCTCCACCCAGTCAGGGAGCTCAGCCGCGTCGCCAAACTCCGTACGCCAAGCGTCGCTCAGACGGGCGAAGCAGCGGGACTCTGTGTGACCACGCGTCCCGCAAGGCTGACCAGTCCGGACACCCGTGCTAATAACGTACGGGCAGCGAGCACTACTCAGCGACCCTCTACTCTGAGCGTACCACTCACGAAGCTGGTGGGGGGTGAGGGACTCACGCGGGTGACGCTGGAGCTGCATCTGGCCACTACAAGTAGCTGCGGAACTACTCACTCCAGGACGACTCCCACTACGGCCACCCCGACAACCCCAACTAGCGTACCACTCACGAAGCTGTTGGGGGGTAAGGGACTCACGCGGGTGACGCTGGAGCTGCATCTGGTCACGCCAGGAGCAGCAGTAGCAGTAGAAAGAGCAGTAGCAGCAAGAGCAGCAGTAACAGCAGTACGGGCAGGGCAGTGCTCACCAGTGGCGAGAAGGGCAGGCGTACGACGGCGGCAACGGCGAGGCCGCTACCACTGTAGGGCGAGAGCTCCGCGGCAGCTGCAGGGGTGGCTGCTCCAGGGGCGGCAGTTGTAGGGGCGGCTGCTCCAGGGGCGGCTGCTCCAGGGGCGGCTGCTGCAGGGGCGGGTGCTCCAGGGGCGGCTGCTGCAGGGGTGGCTGCTCCAGGGGCGGCTGCTGCAGGGGCGGCTGCTGCAGTGGCGGCTGCTCCAGGGGCGGCTGCTGCAATGGCGGCTGCTCCAGGGGCGGCTCGGCTGCTGGGCGACTCGGCTGCCGGCTGCTCGCTAGGGGTGGCGACGGGGCCGGGTAGGGGCGGCGACGGGGCCGCTAGGGGCAGCGACGGGGCCGCGTAGGGAGGGGAGCGGCGACGGGGCCGCTAGGGGCGGCGACGGGGCCGCGTAGGGGCGGCAACGGGGCCGCGTAGGGGCGGCGACGAGGCCGCGTAGGGAGGGAGGCGGCAACGGGGCCGCTAGGGGCGGCGACGGGGCCGCGTAGGGGCGGCGACGGGGCCGCGTAGGGAGGGAGGAGGCGACGGGGCCGCTAGGGGCGGCGACGGGGTCGTGAGGGGCGGCGACGAGGCCGCGTAGGGGCGGCGACGGGGCCGCGTAGGGAGGGAGGCGGCGACGGGGCCGCTAGGGGCGGCGACGGGCCGCGTAGGGGCGGCGACGGGGCCGCGTAGGGAGGGAGGAGGCGACGGGGCCGCTAGGGGCGGCGACGGGGCCGCTAGGGGCGGCGACGGGGTCGCGTAGGGGCGGCGACGGGGCCGCTAGGGGCGGCGACGGGGCCGCGTAGGGAGGGGAGCGGCGACGGGGCCGCTAGGGGCGGCGACGGGGCCGCGTAGGGGCGGCGACAGGGCCGCGTAGGGGCGGCGACGGGGCCACGTAGGGAGGGGAGCGGCGACGGGGCCGCTAGGGGCGGCGACGGGGCCGCGTAAGGAGGGAGGCGGCGACGGGGCCGCTAGGGGCGGCGACGGGGCCGCGTAGGGGCGGCGACGGGGCCGCTAGGGGCGGCGACGGGGCCGCGTAGGGGCGGCAACGGGGCCGCGTAGGGAGAGAGGCGGTGACGGGGCCGCTAGGGGCGGCGACGGGGCCGCTAGGGGCGGCGACGGGGCCGCGTAGGGGCGGCGACGGGGCCGCTAGGGGCCGCGAGGGGCCTGGAAGGGCGGCAACGGGGCCACTAGGGGCGGCGACGGGGCCGCTAAGGGTGGCGCGAGGGGCCGTGAGAGGGGCCTCTAAGAGAGCTCGACAGAAGGGCGGCCCACAAGGCGCGCCTCGGGCAGGAGCGACTGGCGCTCCGGTCAGAAAAAAAAAAATTCAGTGGTGGGCCCAAGGAAGCGTTCCCACTAGGGAACCTGCTCTGATACCATGTGAAGAAATGAGGAATGAATGAACTAGCAAGCAGGTGGGTACAAGTAGGAAAACCTAGAAGTGTTGTACCCCATATTGTCTACCCCACTACAGCCTACACAGACTATAGCATAAGAGTTTGACATCCTAAGGCAGAAAGAACAAGGGCGTTAGCAACAATACAACATTCGGCAGCAGCAGAGACAACACCGGTAGCAGCAGAGACAACACCGGCAGCAGCAGAGACAATACCGGCAGAAGCAGAGACAACATCGGCAGCAGCAGAGACAACACCGGTAGCAGCAGAGACAACACCGGCAGCAGCAGAGACAACATCGGCAGCAGCAGAGACAACATCGGCAGCAGCAGAGACAACACCGGCAGCAGCAGAGACAACGACAGCAGCAGCGGCAACATCGACACCAATCACTGGTCCTTCAACGACACCAATCTTCATCGACGATTCGCCACCAACACCCGCACAGCAGTTAAACCCGACTCAACGAGAAGTCCACCGAAGCGCCAACCTCACCGCCAGCTTCTACTCCAACTCCGATCTGTATCGACGATCACCCGGACATCGCGCCGACGAAAGCACCTGGCACGCAAGGATGGGACACCCAAGCAACACAGTGTTAAATAATACGATAAGGGCAGGAGTACTCGACAAGGACTCACTACTACTGACCGATGGAAGGGAACTTCAACGAGTACGTGGAACGTGCTTCACCTGCCCTGAAGCTGACTTACCGCATCAACCGTTCGCGTCTCACCATAACCCAAGCGCACCAGCTTACGCGCCACTCGAGAAGGTGTACAGTGACATCCTGTACAACCGCGAGCCTGGACAGAACGCGTACAATTACACCATCACGTTCATCGACGCCGCGACACGTTACGTTTGGCACTTGAATCTTCCAAGCAAGGATATGGCGTTCGAAGCGTTCGTCGCCTGGCTCCCTGTAGCGGAAAGAGAATCGGGCGTCAAGCTAAAGAGTTTTCAGTCAGACGGAGGAGGAGAATACACCTCACAGAGGTTCAAGCAATACTTGGCTGAGAGAGGAATCAAGCGGCTCATTTCCCTTCCCTACGCCCATCAACAGCAGGGTGTAGCAGAAAGGATGAACAGGACCCTCCAGAACACCATGCGGAAACTGTTACGTGGCATGCGGCTACCCAACCACCAGTGGCCCGAAGCAATGGACCACGCCGTGATGCTGCACAACTTGCTTTCTTCGTCATCACTTCCGAACAACGCATCACCGCATCTGCTGTGGACAGGAAAACTGGGCAGCACAAAAATGTTACGAGTCTTCGGCTGCATTGTACAGTACCGACCTCCATCTGCACGAGCAGGACGATTCTCCCAACGAGCACAGTGGGGATTACACCTGGGCATCGAAAAACACTACAACGCATGGAAGATTTTCGACGTCGAGACAAAAGAAACAGTGGCAGCACGTTATGTCATTTTCTACGAGCGACTCACACTGCCGACGTACCTTGCCAACCTGGACGAAAACCGAGACCCCACAGGTGGCTTCTGTGGAGACCGAGCCTTCGCTTCGGCAGAAGACGAAGCTGACTGGGACGAGCAGAACGTGGAAGGAGCCTCGGAAGAAGCCGGACCCCTCCCCTACTGCTCCGTCAACGTGCCAATGGACGACGAAAACCCACGCGAAAGCATCAACGCCGAAACCTACTACCATTTCGCTGAAAACGGTTACGTTACACCTGCACAAGTAAACACCGACGAAGCAGAACGCGTAGGACCCAACTTCGCACCTGATCCAGAAGCGGGAGACGAAGCTGTTTATCCCGCGGACATATCACTCCCCCGCTACACACAGAGTGGACTCCAGATACTCGGGCTCGTCACCGCAGTCCACGGCACGGCCATTCCTAAGGAGCCTGCCACAGTTCAGCAGGCTCTGGGGGGGGAACATAAAGAAAAATGGCGCGAAGCCACGGACAGGGAATTAAAGGCACTAGAGGAACGCAACACTTGGAAAGTCGTTCCCATCAGTGTGGCGCGGAACAAAACGATTCTCACCGGAAAATGGGTCTTCCGCGTGAAGACGAAGGCCGACGGCACCATTGACAAATTCAAGGCACGCTGGGTCGTGCGCGGCTTCGACCAAGAACACGGGCGAGACTTCACCGAAACTTTCGCTCCGGTCAGCCGACACACTTCGCTCCGAATCCTTCTCGCGATCGCCGCCATGAAGAAGAAGAAGCTGTGGCAAATCGATGTCGCGAACGCATTTCTCTACGCACCCGTTGACGCAGAAATTTTCGTGGAACTACCGCACGGCACCAACGGGGAGCCCAACCAAGTCTGTCAGCTGCTGAAGTCGCTCTACGGGATCAAGCAAGCTCCGCGGCTATGGCAGCAATACCTGCACGCTCGCCTCATTCGCATCGGCTTCAAGCAACTACCACACGATCAGGGGATGTACCGACTCACGAAAGGCGCAGATTACATCCTGCTAATCGTCTACGTAGACGATCTCCTCTACATCGGCTCAACCGACAGCGTCACTACCTGGTTCGAAGGGGAGCTGCAGCAGGACTTCACGCTGACAGTCTCATCTACCGTTACACAATACCTCGGGCTCAACATCCGGGAAGAGGAAGACGCTATCTACCTCAGTGCCGCGAAATACGCCGACACCATCGCCAAGCGCTTCGCACTCACACCAACTGTCATCTCTACACCGTACCGCTACACGACAGGAAACAACAAGGAAGGCTCCGCTCTACTCAAGCCCGCCGGCATACGCGACTACCAGAGAAAGCCGGGCTGCCTTCTCTTCGCAGCAGTCACCTGCCGCCCAGATCTATCGTACTCGGCAAGCCAGCTCGCCACCTACCTCAAGAGGCCCGAAGCGGAACATCTAGCAGAACTCGACCGCGCTCTTGACTACCTCATTAGCACCCCGACGATTGGTCTAACTTACTACAAGAACGCAACTACACCGCCTAAGTTAATCGGCTACGTCGACACCGATCACGCTGGCGACTCCGACAACAGGCGTTCTCGCACCGGCTACATCTACTGTCAAACTTATATGCTATAGTCTTTCTAGGCTGTAGTGGGGTAGACAGTATGGGGTACAGCTTTCTAGGGTTTCATATTTGTACCCAACTCATTTCCTAGTTCATCCATTCCTCATTTCTTCTCATGGTATAGAGCAGGTTCCCTAGTGGGAACTGTTCCTAGGGCCCACCACTGAAAATCGATTAATTTTATTTTTTCTGCCCGGAGAGCGAGTCGCTCCTGACCGAGGCGCGCCCTGTGTGCCGTCCTCCCCTTAGCGGCCCGTCGCGCCCTCTCACGGCCCCTCTCGCGGCCCCGTCGCCGCCCTTAGCGGCCCCTCGCGGCCCCACCCT